GTGTCAACACCCGGTATGCCAAACGTTCAAAAATACTCAAAAATCCAAAATCAGCGCCGTTCGGTGTTTTATGAATTCCATGCAATCAAGCCCTTCTACGACGACGCATGCGGCGACGTGGGGGCCTAACTGTTTTAACTGCCTAACTACCTAGCTCGCCAACTGGGCAGATCTCGGCACTTGTTTCGCATGCCTACGTTGTATGTCCGAATATATTTGTGTTGTGTGCCTTGCTCAGGGCTACAGCCTCATCACCGGGATCGGCGCGAGGCGGATTCGAAACCCCGTGGACCAGGAGTCGCACTGGGACAACTTGGTGGGTCGAGGGTGGGGTGGATCGGGTGGGATGGGGACGGCTGGGGAGAAGATCTGGTCGGTTGGTTGGTTGGTACAACAGCACCATCAGCACGACCAGCCGACTTGCTGCACTGCACTGAACAGCAAAGCCATTCACTTGTTTGTTTGTCTGTTGGTTTGTCCGTCTGTCTGTCTGTTTATTCAGTTGGGACCTCGGGATCAGCCTTAGTAGACAGTCGTTCGTTAGTTGTCATTCGGTTGGGATTGTACCCATACAAGCAATTTACAACTTAACCATATTGATCAGTGGCAAATTTAAAAAAATCACATCTTTACCATGTAATCGTCCTATTTCTCCTTCGCGCCTGGTTCCCCATGTGTGAGTGAATGCATTAGAAGAACGGTTGTGGGCTTTGTGGCTGCGCACTTCAATCGACTGTGCATGCGCGTGACCAAGAGCTGTCCATGTACGAATGGTGGATGTACGTGTGTACGTTATATGTGTGTGTATGTGGCTGCCGCCGCGCGCAGGATGTCCCCTGGCCGGGCCTGCCTATCGGCCTGACGGGGGGATTCTCATGGATCAACACGTACGGCTCCGCGCTGGGCGCCACATTCCCCGTCGGCATGGACTATCCGGCCATGCACCGTATTACGGACGTGTTCAACGTGCAGACGGAGTTCGTGGTGACCAACTTGGCGCAGACGCTGGGCGTGGTGGCGGCGCTGGTGGCGCTGGCAGGGTGCGGGGCTGCGTGGGGGGCCCGCGTGGGGGTGTTGCGTGGGGCTGTTGCGTGTGTGCGGGGGATTTTGCGTGGGGAGCTTGGGTGTGAGGGAGGGTTGACTGTGCGTGGGAAGGGAGGTTGGACGGGCGCACGTCAGCATGAGTGTGTGTGTTTTGGCGGAGGGGTAGAGAGCAGGTGTATTTACGGATAGCCGTGCCAACTGGAGCAACACCGTTCTCGCTTGGTAAGGTGTCCGAACGGGGGTAGTTGCAGAATTCTCATTATTGCCAAAGCTCCTAGGGGCCAGTTTCGTTATTACCAACTACCATAAATCTAACTACCATCTAACTACATCAACTAACTGCATCAACTAACTTCGCACAGACCAACCAACCTCTTGGTGATTCTTCCCACGGCTGCAGGGGCAACTCCTCCGTTATTCCCCAGCCGCCGCCGCCGCCGCTCAACATTAGCCTCAATTTGTCCACCAAGTCCGGGCCCGCGCCGCTTAGCGTGAGCTTCGTACTTGACGTACACGGTACGTACGACACGTACGAATGTATTACAATCATGTCTACGAAGGTGTTTTGTAAACTTATGTAAGCGCGCACGCATCATAGGAAGAGGCCCCCCCTCTCCGGGAAGCCCCAGCAGGCCACAATCTCTTTAGTTGTGGTTTCTCGGCGACAGCGGCGGATGCTACAGGTGCTGCTACTGCTGCTGCTACTGCCGCTGCTGTTACTGCTGCTGCTACTGCCATACGTGCTGATATTGCTAATGCGCCTGATGATGATGCTCTTGAGGTTCGCAGTCTACTTTCTACGTTATGGAAGTTATGCGTATTATCATGTTTGCCATCGGCTTGCCCACCCGCAGGCGACCCCAACACCGTAGCTTTCATCGAGTACGACTTCGGTGACGGTGGGCATTCGTACCAAGCCCAGCCCGTACACGTGTACGAAGAGCCGGGACGCGCCTACTACGGCACCGTCACAGTGCTCGACCGCAGCGGCCAAATCTCCGTGAAGGTACGGCAATGAGCGTACGGCTCCAGCAAAGATAAGACCGGACAACAAACCAAGCCAGAGCAATTATTATCCCAGAGCTCTCCTAGCGGGAACCTGCAAAGCCTCGTTAATCGTAATGGCATTTCAGCTGCGGGCCCTTTCCCCCCCCCGATGTGGGCCCTCCAGGATTTCTCCGTATTCACTTGCTGGCCCCCTGGAGAGTCCCCGTCGTTGCCCCCGCCTACCGGCCTAGCGCTGGCAGCACGGCTGGCGTCATCGGACTTGGCGCCGTCTGGCTGGGGTGGGCCGTTGCCTCCGTTGCTGGTCGCAACCTCGCTCGGCGCCACTGAACTGAGCAGCGACAACGGACTTACCGTCTCAGGTGCGCGTCTTGTGTGCTTGTGTGTGTTTTTTGGTGAAGCAGGGAAGTGGGGAAAAGGGCGGCGTCTGCGGGTTTGCGTTCACGACGCGGATCTCGTTCGACCCGTTGGATTCGTTCGACCCGTTCGACCCGAATGGCGTCGAACATGTGACATATCTGGATGCAAGCTGTCGGTCGATATCTCCGAGGAGGAGCCCTTTTTTTGCTCCTTCTTCTATATGCCCTTTGCTGCAAACCATTTCGCATTTTGCGGACAGACTGCAGAAAACCGCTTTGACAACATCAAGTTGGATTTTGAAGCCTGTTTGGTTCGCCTGTTTCATTTCCCCGATGAGCCGTTTTGCCGTTTTAAGGAAAGGCCCGTGTGTCTCCTTATGCTATGAATTGCTATGTTATGAATTTCTTATGCTGCGAATTTCTCGCATTTACCAGGTTACGGCTTATTACTGGTTAACCTCACACACGCACTGTTTGCCTCCGTCGAGCATTTTTTGAGCATTTTTTTAAATTTTTTTGGTCTTGTGTTTCAGTATCTGATTTTCTGGAATTTGTTTAATTACCTGTTAAGTTTCTCGCTTCGCGCGATTGACTTGGCCAATCGCTCACTTGCAGGTACGATTTCCGGCAGTAGCATCTCTGCTTCCGCTGCAAACCTAGCTTGGCAGGGTGCTACAGCATTCGAGGACCAAGTTTCTTACGTAATACCGCCTCCGCAGCAGGATGCACCATTGCTGGGGGGGGCTGTCGGCGGCCTTGCGCTGGAAGCGTGGTTCGCTCGCTCACGTAGGGCTTCCCGTCCGTATTTGTCCGTTAATCCGTTATAGTACATTACAACCGTAACCATAGATGCACAACCAAAGCTGCCTCGACAACCGACCACTGGCTGTCTCACAACTAACGATTATAGTTGATTACTTTTTACAATTTTTTCCTGGCTAATGGCTAATGACAATGCTCTCGGCCAAAAATCCTTGGCGAGTTGAGTTGTGCACTATCAAATTATTACCAGACCTTCGCGGCCGGATAGCACCTCACGCCGCAGGTCGCGGAATCCAATCCGTCTCCGCGCCTGTGGGGCGGATGGTTGGGTAGTTAGTTGGTTAGTTGGTAACTCGGGAGTAGCAATTTGGCCAAAAGGCCAAAAGGCCAAAAGGCCAAAAGTCGCCATTACCTGGGAAACGGGCTAGCATTACCCGGTAACATTATCTTGCATCAAGCGCCGTACAAGGCTAACGAACAACTACTGACTGCATCCTAGAAGTGGCTCTGGCCTCCTCTTTGCCTCCTCTGGACTCCTCAAGATATCGAAGTTTCTTTCTTTCTTGCGCGACCGTGCATTTTTAGAGCCCTTCTTTCTTTTTTGCGTGCTCGTCATTCGTTTTCCAGGTGCTAGTTCCGGCAGTAGCATCTCCGCCTCCTCAACAAACCTAGCCTGGCAGGGTGCTACAGCCTCCTGGGTTGGCGTCGCGTTGAGACCGGAGAGGTTTGAGGACCGAGTGGCGTACGTCATACCGGCGGGGAAGACACGCGATGCGTTGCTGGGGGCCGCCACCGGCGGCCTCGCCCTGGAGGCGTGGCTGTACGTCGAGGAGTTCTTGTCGTACGGCCGCGACAGCGTGCAGATCCTGGGGCTGGGGTTTGACCGCTTTTTCGGTCTGATGGTGAGCTGGGTTGTGTGTTTGGGATTTGGGATTTGTAATCCGGCGGTATATACGGCATCGCGTGTGTGTGTGTGGCGGCGGTGTTGCTGGGGGCCGCTGCCACCGCGGCTGCTGCTCCTCTTGCCTGTTGGGTACCTAAAGTAACCTCTGAGGTGGCTGCCCAGATACTGCAGCTGCAACTGCAGCAAGACTTATCGTATGCGTCTCGGCAGCGCGTACGGCAGTACGAGCTTACCAGCACTTTCCACGTCGCCTGCGCGCTTCAGTACTTGGCCATGGACGCCTGGGGAGCCCTATCACCTCCCCCGACTGCTGCTCGGGCCTTTAAATAACGTTTTTAAACACGCACAGACTCACGCGCACGCGCAGGCACACACGCCCCTACCCTCCGTTTCTCCCCCAACCCCGCACACGCACACACACCCCTGAATGCATGGACGCCAATACGGCCCCCCTGCAATGCCAACATCAACATCAGGGAAGCAAGTGGACAGGCAACCTGCTGTATGCGGGCGACACCGTCGTCGCGAACGAGACCTTCCTGGGCCCTGCGCTCTCCGTCGGCCGTTGGCACCACCTGCGACTAACCGCCACACCGGACTTGCAACCGTCCCTGGAGCTGCCATTGGGACGCAACGGTAGCTGTACGGCATGGATCGACGGCCAGTCAATTGTAGCACAACCGACATTAGGAAGCTGTAGCTCCCAAAAGCTGTTTCGCTACTGCGGCCCGCAGCAGCTGTTGGCGTTACAACTGGTGGTGGGCGGCTTTAAGGGGTGAGGTGGCTTTTCAGGGGTGGGTGGGCCGGGACCGGATGACCGTCTTGACCGTTTGTCTGTTTGTCTGTTTGTCTGTTTGTCTGATGGGCACACTGCGTCATGTGAACACTTTGCCGCGTGTGCTGCGCAGATCGGAGCCCGCCAATGCCAACAGCTACAAACTCCCACCTACTCCCTCCCACGCAGACCGGGGACCCCAACCCCAACTTTCCAACCGCGGGCCCCGTTAACTCCCAACCCCCACCCCCCAACTCCCGCCCTGCCTACTCTCCCCACCCGCGCCCATTCCGCGTGTGACACACAGCTATGTTGATGCGCTACGCATCTACACCTCCCCGACTAGCAGCCTCGATAGCCTCTGCGGCCCGCGGCCACCGCCGCCGAAGCCGCCGCCGCCGCCGCCCTCGCCTGCGCCCGACAACCGCTTCTCCCCGCTCACCCCCGACCGCGGCACAATTGCCGTACTGGACTCCGACGCCGCGTGCGGTCTTTCCGGCGACGCCGCGGCAGCGGCGCTACGTCTACTTCTCTACAAGGATGGCGTTCCCACCGGCGAGCACCTTACCCGCGTCTCCGCCACCTTTCCAGAGGGCTTGTCCGCCTCCCTACACGGCCAGCCCGCCAACCTCACACCCAACACCACAATCCCCACGTCCCCCGTCAACACAAACACGCCCGCGACTGAGGCCGGCAACACGGCCTGGATGGTACAGCCCGCTGGCTGCAGCCTCCGCATAGGCAGCCTGGCGGCGCGTAACGGCAGCGCCGGGCTGACGTGGCACATCCCCAATGCCACGTTACTGCCGGCGCGCGGCCCTACTGGCGCGTTCTCCATAGACGCCAAGATCTTCATCGACGCCTGGCACACGGGCTACAGCTTCTGGAACGCTGATGTGCTTGGGGTCTCCACAAACTGGGATGCGTTTTTCTCGATGATGTATGGGTTATGGACCCACGGGTCGGTTTTGCTGCGGACGCCCGGCGCCACGGGCGCTATACAGCTGCTTAACGCCAGCGCATTAGAGGCGGCATTGACTCCCGGTGCCTGGCATCATGTGGCGTTGACGGCCAACGCGTCTGCGTGTGCAGTGGCAGTGGACGGTACGGAGCTGGTTTCGGAGCAGAGCTGCAACGCGACGCGGCTACTGCCGGCGCTGGGCTCGGCGCAAAATCGTACGGCGCTGTCGATTGGTGGGTTTCGGGGCTGGATGGACGAGCTACGGGTGTCATCGGTGTGGAGACGCACGCAGCGCCCGGGGGTAAGTGTGCTGGGTTGTGATGGGGCTGCCTGGAAGGGGGGAGGGGGACCGTGGTGGTGTGTATGTAAGTGTGTATGTGTGTGGTTTAATGATCTTCGGAGCCGCGATGACAGAGATGCCGATGGTAGACACTGGCCAATAACTGGCCAATAACTTCATACCGAAACCCAAAAGCGAACTCCGTCGTTCAGCGACATGTTCCGGTTTTCAAATGGAATTTGTAGACGACGTAGCTAGAATGTTTCTAAGGACCGTCGGTCGATTGGTGAAGTGCACAGCTAGTGCTCCTAATGGAAAAATGCAGAGCATGGCTGGTCGAGAAATGGGTATACTTGGATGGATGCGTGCTGCCGATTCAGCTAACGTTGTGTGCCAGGTTATGCGGTCGGCGTCTCAAATAGCAATAGCCTCCATGAAGTCCTCCTCCCTCACCTTTCACGACTCAGTGGTGTTTCGGCCTGTGCCCCGCCCGACGTCTGATGTCCAATATTTAAAGGACTGGTCCTGGTCTCCACCGCCACCGCCGCCACCGCCGCCGCCACCACCGCCACGACCGCCACCATTGCCGCCACGACCGCCTTCACCGCCGCCCTCGCCGCCACCTTCGCCACCGCCCAGCCCGCCTTCGCCTCCACCCCCAAGGCCGCCTCCCCCTCCGCCGCCGCTGCCACCATCTCCGCCACCTCCGCTCCCGCCACCACCGTTGCCGCCTGCGCCGCCTGCGCCGCCACCGTACGACGCCTCGACGCTTCTGCTCCTCGGCCCTGACGCCGGCAGCTGCCCGACCACTTCTGCAGGACCTACGGTGCTCCTTAATTCGTCCAGTACGGCACTTGCAGCGCAGTCGTACACTCGGGGAACTCCAAATGGCACGCTGGCAGCATCGGTGGTTGGCAGTCCTGTATTCTTGGCTACTCTGGGGTCCGCGGGGCAGGTGTGACTGTGTGAAACTATCCTCGTACCATTGTCGTACAATTTGCTGTACGATTTGCTGTACTTAATGTTGGGGAAATAACGACGGGGCAGGTGCAGGTGCGCTTGCTCTAAGGTTCAGAAGCCATATGTATACGTTTGGTTCCGGAGCTCCTCGCCGCCGACCAAGAAAACTGCAATGTATATAGTCAACCTGTTTGTATGTATGTATGTCCTCAATCAGTTTGAGCTAGGGGGCGGACTTGCTCTCCGGGGGCCCCTGTGGTCAACGCAAGGTCGCTTTAACTGCTACGGATTCATCCTGCACCTCCAACCAACCAACTAACCAACCAACCAACTCACCCTACGTGCTCGCATGTCTGACTGCCTGCGCATCGCGCCGTTAGCCGCCGTCAGCGTTTTCCGGCCACAACGGCAGCTGTGCGGTGGCGCTCAACCACACCGCCTGCGGATCCTGCGCCAATCTGACGTACACGGTGCCAGCGGCCCTCCTTGCGCCCATCTCGGCGTCCAGGTAGATCCGGTTGGTGGTTGGTCGGTTGGTTGTGTGTCAGTTAGGTACGGTATGCATGGGTTTATCAACCGAGCATTGGGTCATTTGCCTTCATACGAACAGTACGGCAATAATACGGCATATCGTACAGCCTTGCTGTGTTTCACGCTTGGCCAAGATGACTTAATCGCTGCCAGCTGACCAGGCTTGTTTAAGTCGCCATGAGTCCGTTTGCCGTTATTGTTGATAAATTTGCTAACATTCCTATTTACACTTGGTGTCGTACGTTAACGGTATTGTACTGAACAGCTAACCGACCGGGGCCCCCATACCACCACCGCCGAAAGCCCCATTCATATCGCTTTGCCATCTCCAATCTTACACGCCTCCCTAAACCAAAAAACATCAGAACGAAAACATGGTCAAACGTAAACTAACTCGAACGTACTTCAACCGTCCTAACCGTTGTAACCGCTGAAATCGAAGGGAAATGTCCATTGACGCCAAGCTGTGGATTTCCAAGTGGGTGAACTACGGCATCGACAACTCGGATCCGTTATTCGGGTTTCAGCAAGCTTGGGACCGCTACTTCAAGCTTACTAGCGACAAGTGAGTAGTGATGAGCTGTTGGTTGATATCCACATATTTGTATATATAATGTGTGTGTGTGTGTGGAATCGTACCGTATCGACGTGCACACCACTATCACAACATTGACAACATGTGTGTCGCGCTGCATCGGACGGTGGTGTGGACCCCATCCCAGGCGTTGTCGTGCTATATTGCACCGCTTTGCCGTTGTGTGATGGACCCGCCATGCCGTACTGTGGCACCCACCTACGCACTCGCCATGCCGTACTGTGGCACCCACCTACGCACCCGCCATGCCGTACTGTGGCACCCACCTACGCACCCGCCATGCCGTACTGTGGCACCACCTACGCACCCGCCATGCCGTACTGTGGCACCCACCTACGCACCCGCCATGCCGTACTGTGGCGCCCACCTACGCACCCGCCATGCCGTACTGTGGCGCCCACCTACGCACCCGCCATGCCGTACTGTGGCACCACCTACGCACCCGCCATGCCGTACTGTGGCGCCCACCTACGCACCCGCCATGCCGTACTGTGGCGCCCACCTACGCACCCGCCATGCCGTACTGTGGCACCACCTACGCACCCGCCATGCCGTACTGTGGCGCCCACCTACGCAGGTGGCAAATGGGAAGGGCGTTGTTCAAGGCACCCGCGACCGTTACCACACAGCAGGTGGGGCCACCCAGGCAGCAGCAGCTAAAAGCACGGAACACAGACTGCGCCACTACTGCTGCTGCTACTGCTGTCATTGCTGTCTCTGTTGCTACTGCTGCTGCTGTCATTGCTGCTACTGCTGCTGCTGCTGTCATTGCTGCTACTGCTGTCATTGCTGTCTCTGTTGCTACTGCTGCTGCTGTCATTGCTGCTACTGCTGCTGCTGCTGCTGTCATTGCTGCTACTGCTGCTACTGCTGTCATTGCTGTCTCTGTTGCTGCTGTCATTGCTGCTACTGCTGCTGCTGTCATTGCTGCTACTGCTGTCATTGCTGCTACTGCTGTCATTGCTGCTACTGCTGCTGCTGCGATTACTGAGAAAACGTCATATCGTCTTACTTGCGGATGAGACGGAGCCATCATTGATGTTTCGGCCGTAACAACTTGAGGTCGTTTGTAATAATGCGTTACTACACACAAACACCCCGGCTAACTCCTCTCCCACACACGCCCGCTGCCTTTGCATCCCGCTCTCTCGATCACATGCCCGTGCATGCATGGCTCGGTTGGGCTCGATGGATGAATGGCTTACTCAACAAAGGGCTTATTCAACAATGGCATCTTTGTAAACCGTACGGCGTTTGACTCGGCGTTGACTCTGGGCAGTTGGCACCACGTCTCCCTCACCATGAATGCCACCAACTGCGCGTTGTACGTCGACGCCGTCCTGGTTTCGGCGCCAGACATCAGCTGCAACGTTTCGGCACTTGTCAACTTTGGCGCTTCCGCCACCGTCACCGTGAGTCGCTGTACATCCTGTCCCTGTGTTCTGTGCTCGTATGTACGGAGTACGGTGTCCTACCCGAACTACGGTATAGGCATGTGCGTTCCCACTACAGCCCAATCGCCACATGAACGCCACATTACGGTCAAAGATTGGTCTCTTGGGGACACAAGCCATCATAGCCATCATAGCCACGTGTCGCTTGCCTGGGTTTCCTGGGTTTCCTGGGTTGCCTAGCTAGGTTGGCCGCTTACCTTAGCTTCGCAACAATTCTCCGCCGCCGGAGCAATAAGGGTGTGGGCTCCGTGTGAGCAGTTCTGGGAGGCCTTCGCATTGATGCAGTGGCGTCGCCCCCTTGTTGGTGTTTCTCGTATCTGCGGCTGACGACTGTTCCGAGCCGGCGCTCGGAGTCCTTGCTGCCGCCTGTCTGTGGAGCACGTAATAAATATACGGGTAGAAGAGAAGTGTTTGCCATCCCGAAGCTGTAATATCTTATAGTTTTTTGGTGGATGCGCATGCACAATAACGTGTGGCGTTCCTACATGTACATGTACATGCGTACTGTAGGTGGGCGGCTTCCAGGGCTTCGTCGCAGACCTTCGGCTCTCAAGCGCGTGGAGGGGGACTGAACGACCTGTTGTTATTAACGTGCCGTGATTGCGCGCGCGCACTATCTCTGCAGCCTCCATAACTCGATTGGGGCTGACCAAGCAATGCCAAACCAAACCTATGAAGTAGTTTAAATATTTATGGCAGAGTATTCATTTCTAAAACGATGCATTCATGCATATAGTGGCAAACAGCGCGTCCAGGCTACTTCGCAACGGTAGTGCTGAGCTGCACCACCCCCTTAATGTTATTATTACTATCGCACTGTAGAGCAGCACTCTTAAATAGATCGAGAGAGTTGGAGGTCCACTACATGCGTATGCTGCAGCTGATGGATTAGTAATAAATGCCGTACTAGTAATATATGCATTATGTTTTGCTTGCACGGTATTAAGCATACGCAAAAATGAGTTCTGCTGGCGTGATGAAGGTGGCGAGTAACTATAGCTGTGTCAACTTGTGCTCTTGAAGTGCTTATGTCTTTCCTGCTTAAGTATGCAAAACTGCCAATGGATGAAATGGTCGTCAGAGAATGCAATTCATTGCGCGTTTGCAATCTCTTGTAATAAGGACAGCGCAGGATTCGAGTGTGGCATACGTTAATCGGGCCCTATCAGGCAGGAGTCCCGCGCGCCGCCGCCTACCAATCATCTGTACATGTGTATGTCTGTCCTATATTAAACACACGTACAAGTTTACATTTGTGAATGGGGGGATCCTAGCCAGCTGCTTGGGGACAGGAGTATGTATGTATTTGTAGTTGTAGAGAGGTGGTGTCGGATGGTTACACCAATGGCCGCTCAATCACATGTAATTATTGTTGTGGCCCTCCTAACCTGCTGTTGGAGAAATATCACGCAACTTGAAAAGTGAGGAAACAGAAACACAATGAAACAACAACAGCAGCGCAACATATTAGCAGGTAATAGTGTGGGCGGCTGCGTCGTCCGCGTTCCGTCCGCGCAACATTTACAGCGCTTGTTTAGGAAACCCCTCCTTACGCGTCGATCTAGCTCACATCTATTAAAACAATTAAAATATATGCACCATGGAACATTCAACGCACCACCTAATCACCTGTCGTCGTTCCCAAATGTCGCCATGACGATGGACCTGCTACCCCGCCGCTATCCACTATCTAAACCGTGAGCAAACCATGTTAGATATTATGTAGTATTCTTTATAGCTGCTTTATCACAGATTTAAGAAAAGCTGCGATTTTCTGAGTCAGCTTGATAGCTACCCTTTCACTGTCCGACAATCATACTACGCAAATTATGATCATGCACGAGCGTACGTTGCGCACTGAGAGGATTCGGAAGCACGTATTAATCTGGCAGGCAGCACTACCGCATACGCAAGTGCAAGCGCTACCTGTCTGCCTAGCCTGTCTACCTAGTAGTACCCCAAAGCGCTATCCAACGATTGATACTACGGTATCGCCCGTCCATTCGCACATACATTTGTGCTATACATCCAAGATGTCCGATAGATATCCGAGCTCATCACGGCGCCATTCGGCGTCAATCAAATTCAACTACTCCCGGCATGTATGCCAGCGTCATGGAAGTCGGGGCACCACCCACAGCCAATGTGCGTTCCAGAACCATACTTGGTGGCTCCGGCTCGTCCATCACCTCGCCCGGCTGGTGGTTGTGATGGTCGTGGCCACCATGGTCCACGTGAACTGAATGGACGACACCCAGGGCCGGTACGGCAATGAATACGTGCTCGCCCAGGACGTCAGTCTGGAGGTACGGAGTCGTCTGGTTGGCCAGGAAGCCTCCCGCGCGAACCTGCAGCAGACACGCAAGGCGGAGCAACAAGTCTTAACGGCACGCTTCGGGGTAAAGGTTTCTTAGGTTCTCGTTTTCCCATTTCCTATATATATGTACATCTTTCAGGATGCGCAGAACAAAATCCCGGACAATACCATGTAAAAGCATTATCCGGATAACTGAACACGTAGCAAGGAAAAAAAGAAAAAAGCTAGGTGGGGCACCTAGCAATGATTATTTACCTGCACTTCGGCGAGGGCAGCTCCAGACGCACCGTCGTACAGTACGAGGAAGCCATCCCTATGAAGGGCCACAAAGCGCCCCTGGGTTGGCAGGCTGGCCAGGCGAATCACGCCGCCGCGGTGGGTCACGTTGGTAACCCGTGGGGCGGCAGCGCGCACGTCAGTCCTCCAAAAGAATCTCTGGGAAGCGGAGGACGCCGACCAGAAGACCCCTGTGGTGTTGAGAGGCACAGTGATGATGAGGGAAAGATGAGGGAAATGCAGGTGGTAGAAGAAGATAGTTAGCACACGTAGATGTACGACGGGTACATTCGACGAACTTTAATTACTTTCGATGAACTTGCACACCAACAAGAGATTTGTATGTATGTATAAATGCACATATTGCTCGGCTAAAGGCATGGGGTAATCGGTCGATTGACCATTATCAGCCATTCACCTGGGACACCGTCCACAAAGTCCTCAATGCGCGGGTTGGTGACAGGAATCTGGACGCCGGTTGCCGAGGTGTTGCGCACCACTAGAATTGACGAAGCGCAGCCGAACACAGCCGTGGCGCTCTGCGGGTACACATACATACATGCATACATACATACGGCTTGTGAGTTTTAGCTGGGCTCACATGCAAACAAGATGGATGTGGGGAATACTACTGGGGTTCCAGTAAGATTTCCGTACAGCCCTGGAAGCCTTTATACATAGGTGGACCATGATGCCGTAGGTCGGATCCGGAGTGGAGTCACAACTTCTAAGTTTCAACGTGAAAAAGATCAGCGTGCCACTTGCCTCAAAGTTTTTGTGTGCGTGAAGAAGGGCTCCCCGTAAAAATACTTCACGTACGGCAAGATGGCTAGAAACGTAACCGCATGGTCTCAGGGAAGGGCGTTCTTCGCCCTAGATAGAGCATGCTGGTAGATCGGGGGACTAACAGCGTCATCGCGGCCATCGAGTGAGAGCGGTATATGGCACTTGCTGTACAGGTGATTTCAGGGTGGCAGGATGCATGGCGGCCTCTATACAGATAACTTGGCCGACACGCACGTGAGCAGGAGGAGGCCTCTACAGGGTTATGTGCCTTAATCCCTGGGTTTGTTGTACCACATTATGGCTGCAAACATGAAAACCAACCCGACACTGTTACCTGGCCCTTCCCTTATGGAAGAAGCCATTTGTCGAGTTATTGTTGACTTTTGGGGCCGCCTTCAGGGTTTCGCAGCTTTGGGAATTCCACGGAAAGGTTGGGATTCTGTTGGGGCACATCACCCCTTCTTGAGAATTATATCTGGCAAATTGCTATGCTCACGGGAGCGGTCACCGATGAGCGGTTAATTATCTGAGGTGGTGGTCTAATTTGTATATTAGTCTCTACTGCAGTGCACGGCCAGCTGGCCCGATGGCTCTACTCTTCGGGAGTCTGGAGCCCACTGTAACAACCACACACACACACACACACACACACACACACACACACACACACACACACACACACATCAACAACGTGACCATCACAACGAAGGACTTTATAACTTCGTTACGCAGACCAGCGGCGACGCTGGCAACTACGTGTACTCACCCCATTTGCAAAATAGGTCGCTGTGCCGTCGCAAGCCGCGCATGCGTACTCCCTTACAACCTTTGCCGTACGATCCAGGATAAAGGCCTTGCTCGCATTGGCGTGCGGAACAAGCATGAAATTGCCGTACGGCACGGCATGAAAGTGGCCAGCTGGCACCAGGAAGGTCATGTTTGGCCTGAAGGCTGCAACAGCGTTCAAGTCGTCCGCACGGTACGCGAAGACCCGGCCATGGTTCTCGGCCTGCAATGTGCATTACACAAGTATACATCGTTGCACAATCAGACCGCAATGTGCATGTCTTAGTAGTATCGGTATATATATAAATATAAAAAATATATATATGTATATATATATATATATGTATTGCCATGCGTAGGTGCTGGTAGATGTAACTACAGCAGGGGAATATATGTCGCCTAATAACACGCATCCAAAATTATTCGTAGGAAATACGATACACACGGAATAACAGGTAGCATTCGCCGATCTCATGCGACTATAAATTTATAGTATTTAAATACAACAGCAGGCACGAACAATACATACAATAAATACACGAGCAGGCACGAGCAGCAGCTAACTTGCAGGATGCCCGTCAATGAATAGCCCACGCAGTATACGACAGTATACATACCCGTACTCACATACATAAGGTGAAGCCCCCAGGCGTCGTGATAAACGAGACCCTGGCCGCCCTCCACCCCGCCGATTGCGTCGCTGCCGTTTACAAGTATAACGCTCTTCGCCAAGAATGCAGGCCGCATGAGGCCGAGCTCACCAGCCTGGCAGGTAAGTGAGCAACGAATAGCGATCACATCAGCAAGCTAATGGCATGACTGGCGGGCTTAGCAGCAGAATTTAGACGCCAAAATAAAAGACTATGTATTTATTAATGCGTTTTTTCAGTGACGCGCTGTGAAAGCAAGTAAACTTAAGGATTGGAAATTCGACTTCCTCAGGCAGTCATACAACATCCGGAGCTTGCGTGATTACCATCATAACATGAAATAATAATGTCATAATGAACTTTTCTATCAACACAAAGACGCACGCACCTTCAGGGGCGCGGGCGCCGCGGTCCTGTTGCCGGCCGCCGGCAGAACAGGGACAATACCAGTGTTGATGACAGAGAAAAACTGTGGCAATAAGAACAGAATGTTCCAGTTAGTATCCCAAGCCTGTCTTGGAGCGCCTTCTTGCTTCATCAGGCCGCGCCCTTGCCCGGTCGACTGTAACGAAGGACACTCTTTGTATATTGCAGCATCAGGCTTACAGTGCCTTGGGAAACACTGGTCATAATTAATGATTAAGTAATACAGCTGGAGGAGTTGCAGGGCCGTTTCTGTTCCAAGAACTTACCTGCAGGTTGTTGTCACGGTTGCGGAAGACGCCGACATGTGCATTATCGGCAGAAACACCCAGTTGTAGGACAGTGCCTGGAAGTGGAATGCGCTGCGAGATGTTATAGCCAGGCAGATCGATGACAACGATGGCGGGATTCGTCGCCAAGTTGTCGGCGACGAAAAGACGTGCGCGGCCACGGTAAACTTGGGGGCCTTGTGCATATGAACCATATGATGCGATCATTATCAACACTATTGACATCAACAAACTCGTGGCCATTTTGCTCGCAATCCCTTTGGGTACTGCTATTTCCGGCGACGAGTGCCTCAGCAGAAAACTGCAAGCAAATATCAGATTTGCAAAAATCATCAATACTATGTTGAAGGAAGACAGGGCTACCATAATATAGAATCAGGACATTGTACTGTGGCGCACAACGAATTCGTACAATCCGGGTACAAACTATCAACAGACAGTAGTTTGTCCGCCCCCAAAACCTCCGACTGCCGCCTTAGGTCCCCAGCAGCGCAAAATCATCAATAAGAATTCAGATCGATTCAATATAACTGATTCTTAATCGTTGTGATGATTGGTTCGCATGCTACGAGCCATTTACCACACCGCTGATGCCTGCCGAGTCGGCAGGAAGACAGCATAGCTGAATTTAATAATTATATGTAAAATCATGTTGAACATAACATTATTAATATGTACTAGCCAAGGGGCCGTCAATTGACAGCACGGAAGCAATCAAGACAGTCAAGACGAAACGGAAAAAACGAAACTCGACGTCATCGCAAAACGTGCTGCACCAAACGGCAACGACGCTTCAAATCAAATTCGTAAATGCCCGCCAGCAGATCATTAACTAGGGTCGAACCCTGCCAGCGCAGCCGCCTTTCGCCTTGTTCCTCGCACCTTTGTCACTATCACACGCGGCAACTGCACGCACGAGCTGTGCGATTTGGACGGCCGCTCGCTTACGCAGACTTGGGTGACCCTGATGTCCCTTGATGGCCATGCATGTGCGTTGTTGCCTGCTATATTCCTAATGGCCATGACAGCTGCTGGGATCCCAGCAAACGGAGCTAATGCACCTACGCACCAGACCATGCAAAGTCTCAGCACTAATCGGTTCCTGTACCATGGCGACAAAGCTTTCCAAGCCCTCATTATCCTTCTGATGCTTGGTGCGTTTTACACAGCCGAGACGACTTCCCAAAACAACAGAGAAAAGCTGCTGCTCATCCCAACCCCGTTCATGAAATCCTAGATTTCCGATCTTCTACCTGATCGTTTGCCCTCGCAGGTCGACCTCCAATCTTGCTTTCTTGTTTTTTGCGGCACTCCACCCTCCTCTGGAGTTTACCATGATTCGACAGTACTCTCCGACACGCATGTCTGCGTGCTTCGCGCAATGTTTCAATCTGCATCGCTGTGCGAGAAAGTCCCATTAGGATATACATCCTACGAATTTTTGGTGCTGGTAATTCTCACCACTTTTGGGAAACCTGTCAGTCAGTACCGCGCGCGCGCCCACCTACCGCCGCTGGGCCTTGGTGACCTGTTTGCCACGCGCATCCTGAACCAATGTGGGACAAAATGTCCATTTGACGGTTATTTACCGAAAAACTAAAATAAAAGTTAGGTTTACACCGGATTGTTAACACCTTCCAGCAGATCCGACGACCCGGAGCCTGACGGACTGCTCAATGGCGTCTGTCGCCCAAATGACAGTCTTGTTGCGTATCTGTCCTGTCTGATACGCAACAAAACTGTCATTTGGGCGACATGAAAAAAATGAAATTTTTTTATGTGGAACAGGTTAAACTTCCTGTGTTGAACGGCACTTGGCCCCACCCCGGTTGGGCGACACAGCACCATTCCCTGCACCTGACCGTTCTTCGACGCACAGTTTCAGCGGCTTTAAGGCTGCGGAAGCTACAATTACGAGTTGTGGATAATGCAAGACCTTGAAACTTGCAACAAGTGCGTGCGACACGAGGTGACACGTTATTGTCCATCGCCATTGGAAAGAAGTACAACATACTGTTGGTTGGGGTGTTACACTGTTGGCGGCTCGCCCCGAGGAAAGGACGAGCACCGAGGACCCTGACCGGGGGCCGAAACACAGCGCAGGGGCAGGCGCGCGGCTCTACGTCCGTCTGTTCCTCCGCGCGCGCCTTACTCACGCCAACCGGGACGACCTCCCAGCCCCTGGCTAGGCAACGCAGCGGCGCAGAAGATTGCAAACCGATCTAAGCGAGAGCCGCACGAGAGGCGCCACACCACCTCTGGGAAACTATCTGCCCCACTACGCCTGGCCAGCCTAATCGCGCGCTCTCGTCCCTCTTGACCGCCAAAACAAGAAGAAAGAGAAAACACCACTGGGGGCTCCACTACACACTCCAAAAAACCGAGGTAAGGGAAGACCTACCCACGTCAGGTACGGCCCCTCAGCAGACTCTCCTAGTCAAGGACCCCACGCAGCCAGCAAGGCAAGAGAAACACGGAGGACCACGGGCCTGAGACGACACACCACAAAGGCCGAGACACCGAGAAGACAAACACAACGCGGGCACTTGCACACTGGTCCTTCAAGGCCAGCTACACAGGTAACGCACATCTCCCGAAGGCGGCCACCACTACCTCACCAGTCCACTCACAACCGAGGCAGAAAACTGGTCCGTACGGCAGTCCCCTCCTGGGGTGGCGGGCATCCGGGCGCAGCCCAGCGCAAGACAAAGCAAAAACACCTATTGCCGCGGGGGGGATGACAAGCGCCCCCATATTAAGCCCTGAAAAGGCACGGCTCAGAGACGCTGCCTGCTCCCGCTCACCACATCGATATCTCTCCCCTCCTGACCCTGGCCGGCCAGGACCAGCATCACCTGCTCTCCACCTCCAAACCACTCTCCTCCACCGCTTTTCCACCTCCTCTCCACTCTCACAAGCCACCTACGCCTTCTCTACTCTGATACCAGACAGCACAGAAACCAATCCCCTCTACTGTTACATCACGACTCCAGTAAAGTATCGGTCGGCGGATGCGGATCCCGTGATATGCCCAGGATACTCTACACATACATACATGTGCGCACAGATGGCTCCGCCCGTTTTCCTGTCTCTGTGCCCGTGTCTCCTCTGTCCTCTCCTCTCCTCTCCTCTCCTCTCCTCGCACATCAATAACGCATTCATCGACATGCGACTATCCAATGCCAGTTCATACATGAGCTAGTGCCACAGGCATACACGGTACGTACAAACCGATCCATACAACCTGATGTATACGTACGTCGGACATATACACGCAAATTAGTCGGACTCACCACATAACTGCTGTTTCACGTCATTTGATACCGCAACTCAGTTATCCCCTTTGGGCGCTAGTCTGGGCTGATAGTGCAGTGTTTTTGTTCCTCCGTGGCTTTTACGCGTTGAAGTGTCGCCCTTGGGCTTTCGGCTCGTATGGGTAGTTTTACAGGTATGGGGTCACACACATCCCAACCATGTATGACACATACACATACATACACATACACATACACATACACATACACATACACATACACATACACATACACATACACATACACATACACATACACATACACATACACATACACATACACATACACATACACATACACATACACATACACATACACATACACATACACATACACATACACATACACATACACATACACATACACATACACATACACATACACATACACATACACATACACATACACATACACATACACATACACAATTCATCATCCTTACAGGTCAGCCTTGCTGCCGCCGAAATTCCACGAACTCGAGACGACGTCCCCCAGGGAACCAGAGTGAGGTTCGACTTGAAGAAAGAACTATAAAAGGTTTAGTCTTATCAATCCGCAGCATACAGATATATCAATGAATTAATCAAGGGTGAGGCGGACCAGCAGGTTTTGGGGGAATAAGATCGTCAGGGGGCGTCCTAAGATCCGTGCGTGACTGAGCAAAGCGTGGATTAAATCTAGGGTTTCGTGGCTACCGAAGGCGATTTAGCCTTCGTACCGTATGCGAATAGGGCAACGACTTAGCGTTTATGGTGTTTTGGTGGTCTCTGATCTCTGTGGACATGGGCAGGATGGGGGTGATGTCAATGTTAACAACGGAGAAAAAACTGCAATACGAGCATTAAGCGACAACCCAGTTGCTACTGGATTTGTGTGTGTGTGGTTGTTACAGTGGGCTCCAGACTCACGAAGAGTAGAGCCAGCGGGCCAGCTGGCCGTGCACTGCACTAGAGACTAATATTCAAACTAGTCTACCACCCAGATGAGACATACTGGATGAGCATAACATTTTCATTCTTGGACAGTAATACCTAGGGGGAGAGAGAGTAATACATTGTGCTCGATAGCGAGCAAGTGTGCCTTTATTGCTTGCTTATTGGTTGAAGCAAGCCCATGCCATGATGCAAACCGCACTGCATTGACTAGTATTCGACAATCGACGGTACTTCAATAATGGATCTGCAATTTGGGGATGAAGCTAAGGGTGCATTTCCAGTGCGGATTAAGGCCAGGGATTAGGGCATGGAACTCCTTGGTACGAGCTTACCACATTGTTTCGTTCCATAAGGAAACCAAAGGTTGGAAAAGCGAGATAAGTTTGCCAAGAACTTAGCCGTTTGAGCAAGTATCGATGGAGGGCAGAGGGTTAATCCCTGGCCTTAATCCGCACTGGAAATGCACCCTAATACTGTCAAAGCTTACATGTTGGTTTTTTTCGGAAGACGACAACGACATGGGCGTTATCGCCAGACATACTCAGCTGGCTGGAGGACATTTCCTGGAATCTGGATGCGCTGTGTGAAGTTGTAAGCAGGCGAATCGATGTGGCGTTGGTGTCAGCAGCAACAAGGTGACGACCAATAATGAATTGAGCATTTGGGGCCTTTGATACTTAAACAGTAAGAAATATTGCCAAGGATATGGATACAAAGACACCCCTGCTTGCCATTGCGTCCGGAGCCATATCACCTACCAATCGCTATTCGAGCCGACGACCGACAACAGAACGCGCAAGAACAAGGCTAGTACTTAGAGCTAGCGAGTTTAAATGATGCTAAATATTTTAGCCTATCATTACAACAGCAAACTACGTGAACTTACAATCTAGACATTTGACCCAGCGCACGCAACGAACTCATACAAGCCGGTACAAACTAACCTGAACTAACCGACGTCCGTTTGTCCGGGCCAAAACCTCAGACCGCCGCCGGTAGCCCCAGCGATAATGTGACTGGCTCAAAAATGGATTGTATCCTTACTATTATTTTACAAGCGTCCTGGATTGTAACAGGAGGGTCTGGAGCCATGCCATCACTCGATGGGAATTGACCGATATTTCATGCAGGATCGGTGAACTCAATACAGCTTCTAAATCAATTGATTTCAACATTTTAGATTGTGCAATTTTATTGGTGAGATCTTACATCTTGCTTGTGCGTCTCTACATGCAACAACTTGGATGCTCCAACCACTGACTTGGGCTGTTTAAATTGCCTAGAAACTAGCAAAATATGCTCATGTGTTCACTATTGGAAATCTGTGTCGGCAGCGTCATGCATGCTTTGACGCACCCGGCGCGCGCTATGGTGATTATGCAGACGAACAACCTGCACCCGGCCCAACTATGGGCTTTTGTTGATGTATAATAAAGACACATAGAAGGTTATCTCTTTTAGCGATCTGGCATTCTGTCGTTTGCTTGCTACCTTGTCGCAGGCCGTTCGGCTCGATGAGGCCCTGGAGGACCACCCGCAGCGATATGGTAGCGGCATTGTGGGCTGCAAATATGCTGCTTTTAAACTTCGTGGCTTTAACCGCCAGCGCAACGACTTTGTCAACGTCTGTCCTTCCATCGAATGCCGCTGGCGTCCCCACAAGTATCTGCTTTTGGCATCATGAACATGGCAAATGCGCTTGGAACTTAATGTATCCATTCACAAGGATGCTGTCAGATATGGGCGTCGAGCAGGAAGATGTTCAGCCAGCCGTGGCCTCATTTGCCATGATGGGCAGCAACGCCAAAGCGCGGTGAGCAATTGCAAGGGCCGTGGGAGTCCAACGTAGATTGTCAGTCGCGATTGGAGGCAGCGAGGGTGTAGGCACGAGGCTGGGCAGGAGTTGGGTGGTTGGCAGTTGGCGAGAGGCGACAAGGCCCGGTGGTCAATGTATGGCCCTGAGAACGGAGCAGAGCAAGACTGCAGGCCAAGAAATGTATGCCCTGCGCAGGAGATAAGCTCTTGAAGTCTTGATATGGAAAGGCCATCCATGGGAAGGCTGTCTGTGTCTATTAATCTATCCAGAGTTGAGTGTTCATTACCCTTTCAGACACAAGATAAAAGTAAAATACCATTTTGAACTCTGCCACTGGTCGCCGCAGATCCCTCCTTCAAGCCGCTCTGCAGCTAAAGCTATGTTCCGTGCACGGCAACACGGGACCTGATGCATGCCAGGCTCTTTTCTTTAACAGCAGTGACGGCGACCCTATCCCCGCCGGCAATAGCAGCACGGCAGGAGACATCGTGGCGTGCGAATGGCGGCAGCAGCAGACACTCCCGGCGGGCAGCAGCACCAGTCTGGCATTGCTTAGCAAGCTCCTTATTACCAGCAACTCCTCCACAACTAGTTCCCAGCCTGATGGCTTATGCCTGCCCGTGAACTTAGAGTCCGTGCTGGGTCCCTACCTTACTTTAATTGCACCGGATCGTTGCGGTGACTTCATCACGGTCGAGACCTGCAGTGAGAACCCCCGGTGTCGCTTCGATGACCACACATCCTACTCGCACTGCATGGTAGACTTCCTGTCACCAGCCAAACTGTTGGCGGTCTCTGAGGATGTCGTCACGACCGCACCTCTGCCGGTGGCTGCCTTGGCCGCCGAGCACTTGTGCAATCCGGAGTCCTATTGGGAAGACAGCCACAGCGACCGCCCTGTCACCCTCAGTCAAGAAGAATGCACCGCCCAGGGCAGCTTCAGCTTGGGGTTGGATGCCCTAAAGAAGCTGGCGGCCGCGGCCAAAATTCCCGTATCACTCCCCGCATCGTCGCCACCGAGCCCAACATTTCCGGAGACGCTGCCAGAGTCACCTCATGTCGCCTCCGGGGAAGATGGCCACAGCATTGATGCTGATCACGATGGACATGAGCATGATGCACTAGGAGACCTAGAGGTGAGTAAGCTATAATGTCTATATAAAAATGAGTGACGGGGATAAGCTAAAGAAGTCTGAGTCCAGGGCAGAGGAGGAAAGGACGAAGAGGACGTACGGCAATTGAGGGCCAGCCTGATGTGCGTGGACATAAATAGTCACCTCTCACATAGCCGCCTCTCTTGAAGTAATGCAATCGGGAGAAGCACTTCTCCTGCTGCTAGCAACCTACAGATGGTTAGCGTTGGGGTTGACAAACACCCTGGTTGCTCACCACCCGTGGTCCAAACTTGCTTCGTGCTTGGAGGCAGCTATGCCGCAGCTATCCGCAATGCCTTGCTTACTTTAGACAGTGCCTTCTTGCAAACGGTTAACCGTAACATCACCTTTGATTGCCAACAGGCAGGAGTCCCTGGCATAGCTATTATCAATGGTCGAATGTAGCTATGACGTTATATGTGCATAGCATGATTTTTAATTGTACTTTTTTAATTGTAATAATGTCGTGAATGTATTTATCACGTGCAAGATAGGATTTAGAATTTCGATTGCTTGTTAGCGTGAAAGCAAGCTTGCTTTCGCACCCAAAGTATGTGCCGGATTATGGCACAGCTGTGCCGGCGCGTCTGGATTTTTTTAGCTGTATCCTAAAACCCTAAAACCACCCAGACCTAGCCGCAGTCCCACTGCCAGTCGCGCACTAGTGGTGCCTGCCGCTTCCATCTGCCAAATCCCAGCTGCTGGATTTCACATTGCGTATAGATATTGCCCTTGGGCCTTCGGCTCGTATGGGTAGTTTTACAGGTATGGGGTCACGCACCCCCAACCATGTAACACACACACACACACACAAACACACACATTGCAAAGAAGGCGTTGACGGAACTTCGGTTTTCTCATTTTATCCACCTCTGACAACTCCTCTCGCACTCCGGCTGGGTGCGTTGCCCACAAGTATAGCAAAGACAGGTGTTTTCAATAATAGAGAGAATGTTGCGCCCTTGCCGTCCTGGCTACATGATGCAGGGGAATGATGCAAGGGAGGGCGGCCCGGCGTCGCTATCGTCCCCTGCATCTTCCCAAGGTGACAACTCCATTACAGTCTCCGCCCCTAGTTGCCAGCTGGACATTCGAGGCATGTGCGTTCCGACTTTGCTGGCTTTCGCATCAAGTGCCGTAAATGCTGCCGCAAACGCTGTGGAAACATACCCCCAGCTGAACGCCTCGTCCTACGATCACCTCCTGTCGGATGCAGCTAGGTGAGGGTGCCTGCTTGCTTGGGTGGCTTTATTTTCGATTGGCATGGCGAGTCGGAACTGAGAAGCATAATGGTGTCGCATGCATGACAGGATCCAGATACCGCTAACATGACTTGCCAACCAGTTGGCATGACGTGAGGGCACATTTGGGACACACTAACGATACTTGATGAGACATGCAACTGAGCCTGTTAGGAGTAATTCACTCAATCCAGTCGCTGTAAACACGTGTGAACTGTCACCCAGCCATGCACTTCCCAAACAGCGAGCCGGCCTACCAACCCAACCTACCTACCTAACTTTACAAACACCGCGTGCGTATGTATGCAACGACAACACACCCTGCCTCGGTTCGTTGTGCAGGACGCTGCTAGTGATGGCCCTAGGAACCGCCAAGTGCATCCTTGCGAACTCCAGCGCCACTGCATGTAGTCTAGCAGTGCTGGCATCACGCCCTGATGGCGCCGCCGCATTCGCCGACGTCTTCAGCCCTAACTGTTCCCGGCTCAGCACGGAGCAGTGCGGCAAACGTCTGGGTTGTGCCCTCGTTGCGCACGGCGATCACTCCGACTGCAAGCGCACATCCACATATGCAGCGGATTACCTCCTTCCCTCACGCCACAGCCCGCTGCCTCAGCCGTCCGAACAGCATGCTGCCGCCGCCGCTGCCTCAGCAGCGGCCATTGCAGAAGCAGCTCAACGCCTCGCAAATTCCTGCCGGGCCGTGTTGTCACCGTCTTGCGGCCAGCAGCAGATCAACGTGACGGTGACCCAGGGGATGCTTGCCGCCCTGGCACTGCCGGCCGGGGTCCGCGGTGTTGCCACAAACGGAACTACCGATTCTGGCAATGGTCGTGAACTGGATGGAGCTTTGTCGGGAGGAACTGATGGGAAGATAATAGTGGATAGCCCAGAGGCAGCTGCTGATGTTGGGGACGACCACTCCAATGGGACTACAGGGCAAGGTCATGATGGCGACGACTCGCGCTCGCTCAAGCTGCGCATTGGTGCCATTTTTGCGGTGCTAGTGGCTGGACTAACTGGTTGTGTTATTCCCATCCTAATGAGGGTAAGTACCTTCTCGCATGCGCGTAGATGAGCACAAACCCTGCCAAGCATGTGTGATTTATCAGATGATCAGCTCTAATTAGGCGCCAATACGGGGCCTTGGTGTTCTTGTGCGTTGCAGTTTGCGTGTTTCGAGATGCTGATACTTCGGTACATTATCTGCTCGCTGGGAAGCTGCAAAGTATTCTTGCTTCCCCCCTTTGACTCCGACCGGTGCCACCGGTGCGACGGACTGGCATGTGCTCCAGATTATCACCTATTATTAAGCACATTTTTTTAGTTTTATGGTTGGTCTGCTGTGTACACGCACATGCGCCCCGGTCATAATGTATGGACCAGTGCTTTAACGTGTTCGTTCCTGATGCCACTCTGTGCTGTCGTTTCTGGTTTCGCCTGCAGTCGTGTTGACGCAACGCTGTGTGATGGAGCATTTGCTGGCCCCGCCCCTCCTCCTCCCCTGCTCATCACCTCTGCCCACCGGCAGGGCACCTGCTGTTGTTGCTGCAAACGTCCTATTGCTGATGCGTCGGTCCTATGCCGCACGCTGTGTTACTGTTACTGTTCATGCTGCTGTCGCAGGGACGGCTGGAGCGGGCGCCCCTCGTCAGTGCTTGCCTCCGTGCCCTTTCCGCCGGTCTCATCCTGTGCCTGGCATTGGTCCACATCGCCACGCACGCCGTGTCAGAAATGGACGGATTGATAGAGAGCATATCAGAAGAAAGCAGCGATAGCCACGACGGACACGATCACCGTCGTCATCGCAGGCAGCTGCTGCTTCTTGGGATCGGCCACGCCGCCCCTCTCCACAGGCTCCGCGGTCCACTCTACCGCCAGGCCAGCAACCGCCACCTGCTGCATCGTTTCATCCTAGAGGACGTCCTCACCGCTGATGACTACGGTAGTGGCAGCCATGATCACTACGAGCAAGACGATCACAGCAGAAGGGGCGGCCATGACCACAACTTCCCTATCGGCATGTGCACCGTCGTATTTGGCTACCTACTGATGGTGGCGGTTGAGCACCTTTCACACGCCTTTCTGGATCGTCATGCGCGTGGCCCGGCGGGTGTTGCTCCCGCGGCCAATAACGATGGTGTCGACCGCGATGAGCAACCAAAGCTTGCTGCAGGTACAGCACGGAGCATGTCCCAAAGATTTACACCAACCTGTACCACAGCTGTGTGCGGGGGCGCCAAGGGGCCGGAGTCGGCCGTGGTCACCTCTGTGGAGGTCATCAAGCAGCCCTCTTCCACGCCAGCCGCGATATCGTGTTGCAGAGCTGCCTCCACGCCTCGCTCTGCCACGTCCTCAGCTGTGGAGACATTACTCTTGGCTGGTATGGCGATCGCGTTTGAGTTTGGCTGCGTCTTCCATTCCTTCATCATCGGCTTGACACTCGGAGCAAACACAAATTTCAGGGAAGTCCGCACGCTGGCTGTGGCGCTCGTTTTCCATCAATTCCTCGAGGGCATCGGCCTGGGGTCTGTCCTCATGTCGGCGGAGCTGGGACACTGGAGGGTGCTCTGCATGACGGCCATGTACGCAGTGACCTGCCCTGTCGGCATTGGCGCGGGTATTGCAATTGCGGACGGCTACGATAGCCATTCCATCACGGCGCGAGCTATCCAAGGCACACTGAATGGCGTGTCAGCCGGCCTGTTGCTCCATCTTGCTTCAGCCCTCATCTCTTATGATTTCGGCAGCAGCACACGGACTCGCTGGCGGCCCTTGCAAAGGCTGCTTCTTTTTACGGCGCTTGCTTCGGGGGCAGCACTGTTTGCTGTGTTGGCGTTGTGGGCGTAATTGGGCGATGGGGTGCGGACGTAGCCGCCCCCAGGAACATTCAATGTGGAGGTAGGTAGGCAATTCTGTGCTATTGTCACCCAAAGGGTGGCATGCACCAGCGGCCGGTGCGCGGACGATTGAACACACGCGTATCAGGGACAAAGTTTGTCTGCAGTATGCGGCAGGATCGGCAGATGTACTCGCTTCGGTGTGATGTTTTTGCTTCGTCAACCTTGGTGTGTGTAGTTAGAAAATATTGTAATGGCTTTCGTTTTGGGATTGACATGATGATGGTAAGTAAGTTCGCTGCACGGTTAGCCAGCAAATAGGTGCTGTTCCCATTATCTCACTAATGCGCATGAGTCGCGTCTGTCTGCGTGCTTCATTAGCATGGCGAGGGGTGCGCAAGGCGTAGAGCGAGGAAATGCATGTGAGCCTCTGTGGACGAACCATTATGGCCTTGGCAGGTTAGGTTTGCGATCGAGAAACGTTCCCGGGCCTTGTCCTGGCGAGCACGCGTTTTGGCTTGACCGGCTATCAGTCGCAACGTGAACTCCTTTATTGCAAATCCCATTGTCGACCTATAGCATCCAAGGGACTTTTCTTTTTCTTGCGACTTCTTATGTTTCCAGTTACGAGTTACAAGTTACAAGTTCCGTGCACACGTATGGGGATGTCCTAATTAAAGCCGGGCAGGTTATGGATGGTAGTTTGGTATTGATGATGCGGGTACCGGGGAGCCCATTATCATCCTCCCACTACCGTCCGCCCACTTCAGCGCGAGACGCCTTAGTGCAACGTGCCTGGCCTCCCAGATTTTCGGTAGGTACCTGGCCAATGTCAGGGGCTTCTTAGAGTTCTCAGGGCTTCCTTTTTCACTCTTTTCTGGGGATAAGATGTTTCGATTATGTTTGGAAGCAGCTACCGTACTGATAGGATAATTTGGTGATCCGGGTGATCCAAAGTGCTGATTGGCATCACCAAGCCATATCCGTGTAAATGAACACATGTGTTCCGTGGAGTGTCGTCACCAATTGCTGTGCAGTACGGCGTCGTACGGCCTCCGGTGTAGTCAGGTACCTTCACCGGTATTGGCCGTGCGCACCCAGGCCTTCGTTTCTGGCAGCGTTGTTGCCTCTTTCGCTGATTCAGCCGAGAGAGTGTGAGCGAATCTCGCTGTCGTGGGCCCGTCTCTGGAAAATCACCAATTGTCGAGACAGGTTTGTAAGTTTTTTCAGGGCCAATCACCAATTGCTGTATCGCATAGCACGCGTTGGATTGCCCACCTAAAAGGCGGGCAAGAACCTAGATGTTGGACGAGCATGCTTGGACTGAGACACAATTTGTAACAAAGCTTGCAGTTGGCAAAGCAGTTACGAAAGGAAAATATCCAACGATAAAAGGTGGTATTGATAAATACCGTTTGGTATTGGAAGATTATGAATAGTTCTTGAATGTACCGTTGGTACGATGACCGTTGGCCCGGTGAGCCAAAACTCATCGTATCAGTACGGTAGGCAATACATGAGCAAGAGTTATCGTATAGTATGGCATGGAACAATTTTTGTCGATCTATTGGCATTGGGGTGGGGCTCTGAAGATGAACTGATTTGTGTTTCGCACTTCCCGTTGGAAGGTTTACATGTTTTCGAGCCAGAATGCTTAGATAAGTCGAGTAGTATTAATACAATCGACTGTACAGTTTTCCTTCCGAGGGCCGCAGTGCAAAGGGCCAGGCAAGCTAGTAAAGCGAGCGGGTAGCAGAGATGCGTGTATGTAACTAGCTGCCAACACACACCCGGGGAACCCAGGGCTGTCGTGCAAACCTCCTCTTTATAAGTGCGTGTCCACACCTTGCTGCTTCATTTAAATCTATTTCGTCGTATAGAGCCACCGAGCTTCCGATGATGCGTAACGGGGCCAGTCCGTTGATTTTTCGCATCGCATGGCATCACAACTAATGTCTCAATTGAAATTGTTTTTTAAAACAGTTATTATACTTTCTATATCCGTATCAACGCACATGTGTGAGCTGCGTTCAGGCGGACAAACGTTCAGGCCGCCAAAATTAGCGTTCTTCAGCACGACGTCTTGATTTGCGATTTACTTACTTAATTTATGCCACCCACTATAAGGCACGTTCTTCGTCTCGCGAAAATCGTCCGTAAGCCTGCCCGTCTTGCCGGCTGCAAGCGTGCTCGTGCAGCTGCAACCTCGACAACGACGGGAGCATGCCAGGCGAACAGCGATTACACCCTTTTACTCTCACGTCTTCATCCCCCACCCTGTTCCCTGATACCACCCTTCACCCCGTTTCCACCTCGTCCCATCCTTCACCATCTTCTGCCAACCATCCGTCATCGCCTTCAAGTCTGTCAGAACTCTCATCGTTCATTTCTCCAGTCCCCATCCAGCACCTTTGCCCCAACCATCGGACTGCCCTTCACCTCAACCTACTGTTGCTAATCTTATCACCAGCCTTCTCACCGTCGTCCTCCAGCTCCACCCGCCGTGCCCATCACACTGGAGTCACCGTACGACCACGCCGACACTATCGTTACTGCAGTTCGCCTAGGTTATAACCGACGTGGTCGGCCGTCCGTCATGTTCCTAGTTCAGTGGTCTACCGCCAGTGGCCGTGACGCGTCCTGGGAACCATACGATGACGTACGCAGCCTCCCAGCACTTCGTGCCTTCCTGGCGACCCCAGCCTGGACCTCGTTTAAGCTGTCGGACCGCTATGCCTGGTTCAGAGCGAAGTTTCCGGAACGCGCTCCGAGGATAGTGCACTTCGTATCAACCTAGCGCTACGCATAGGACGTGTGTTGTGTGTGACTCGTGTCCTGTGTTTCTCAGTTTTGGGTTATTACGCCTCTGTTCTGCGCGAGTCGTGTCTTGACTTCTGTTTTTCTTCGGGTTGTTGCGTGTTGCATGTTGTGTATTTTCGCGTTCTCTTGCGTTCTTTTGTCAGCCACCGAGTTTGCTTTCCGTGCCTTAGGCTTATGGTTTGCGTACTCTTTGTGGATGTTTTGGACACGTTCGTTGGGATATATACCGGTTCCTCAGACCGGCAAGTATAGGTGTCGTGCGCCTTATTTAGGCCGGTATCCAGTGCGGGGAAGGTTTTGCCTTGACTCCGGTTCCCTTTTGCCTTCCCCTCGTTAGCCTGGTACCGATTTCGTTCAGGGAATCGGAGTGGCGCACGACTTAGAATACTTTGTACTTTTGATCGCATCGAGGCCGATGCTTGTGCTAAGCAGGGGGGCATGTTAGGTTTTCTTGTTAGTTGTTAAGTCGTTAACTATCATCGTGGACGATCATTTGAGATATGGATAATGTACGACCTTTCGGCGCCGCCTAGGCTCTGGATGACTATTTAAGTCGTTGTTGTTGTTTAGTTTGTTATGTCATCATTGTTGCATCTTGTAGGTTGTTAGCTGGCTTACGTCGCTCGGCCCTCGTTGTAACATTTATGACATCCCAACGAGAAACGGAGCCTATGCCCTTTCAGTTGGTATCGAGAAAACCTAACATGAACTCCATTCCAATACTATTGCTCGGAAAAGGGGCGCGGTGAGCGAAAGATACGCTTTGACTGGTCGCACCGGCGTACGTCGCTCGCCGCACTCGGACTTAAACCGCACTCGCCGCACGTCACTCGCCGCACTAGGACTTAAACCTGTACTGCGTTTGCGAAACAGTTTCCGATTATCAAAACCCTCGAAATGCTGCAATTTGTTATGTCTATGAATGGCAAACGCACCTAGGCGCATGCTAAAACACCCTCTCACCCGTCTCACCCGACTGGCACCTGCCCAAAGGCCACACAGGCCTAGAATTGTATCCTTTGTTACCTATATGTCTTTTGCTTACAAGGGTTGCAGTTTGTATTCATGGGAGAGGTCTACAGAGGTATAGGGAAGTGTGACGGCATCTGAGGTTTGGCATGCCCGACATCGGGCACCCTTACCATTTAGAAATCACTCTTAGGGCGCTATCGCCGTCAGGCGATGAACGGACACGCCGCAAGTCCAGGACACAATATAAAGTGAGCTGTGAGAAAGTTCCTCTGTCAAAGCAAGAGAGCATGCAGAAGTCACAGGGTACCCAAAATATTGGGGTCTAGCTCAAAGGGCACTTTCGCGTCAGGCATCGCAATTCACACGCCACAAGCATTGTATAAACTGAGCTGTGGATAAAGTTCCTGGATTGACCAAGACGGCAAGCTGGAGACGAAATGGACGCGCACATGCCGCATATGTCTGACATATATGTGCCATATGTCAAGACATATGCGTTACATCTAACTCTTTCAGGGTATCGACAATGGCAAGGAAGGGCTGTTGGGCAGGTGTTTTTCCACACGTCGTATGAAACGAATTGACGAAGTCCTGCAGTACCAGACATAACCCTAAGAAGGTGCCTGCTGTACACAAGATTGAGAAGACCTGCGATGCGGTAATGTATTTAGGATATTATTCGGTGAATTGGTAATGTGTTAAATCTCAGTACAAAGCAGGAGACTCTATGTCCGACGCCCTGGCCTTTAGGCTGAACCAAGATGCCGATGATAACGGTGTTGCTGCGTCAATCGACTTGGGGGTTGATGTTGTTACAGGGTGGTATAGCTTCACCAGTGGCCTCCTTCCCGAGGCATTTCCCTGCTCTCCCCTGCTAGAGGGGCACCCTAAGCCATTCACCCCATCCGACTTCAGGGGGTTGTTGGTAGTTAGCCAGGGTTTCCCAAGGATGGTGTCGTATCCGTCAAGGTCGAGAGTGAACGTGGTGGTGCGCTCATGGTGAGATTGGATGGCCAGGGAGGCGTTGGGGAGTGCGGAGGTGCAGAGGGTGCGATGTCCGTTGGCCAAACGAACACGAAACGACTGTGATGATGGAAGATAGGCGGGGTGTAGACGGTGTTGTTGAAGGAAGGAGGTGGCAATGAAGTTGCGGGAGGCATGTAGGATGGCCGACTGTGATAGCGTCGAAGATGATGAGGGTGGTGGAGAGGTTATCAG